CCAAAGTGAACATCACTCTGCGTTGAGAGAAGCTATAGATGCTGACATAGAATGCCTAGAGAACTCAGTCTCCCACTTGCAGGACTCCCTCTCCTCACTGGCTGAAATGGTTTTACAAAACAGAAGGGGACTGAACCTAATCCTTTTACAACAAGAGAGGGTTGTGTACAGCCCTGGGGGAAGAATGTTATTTCTATATAGACCATTCAGGACTTGTAAGGAATACCAGGCCAGGGTGCAGAAGGGACTTACAAAGAGAGAAGTGAAAGCCTACCACGGATGCTTTGAATCCTGGTTTAATAGTTCCCCCAGTTGACTGCTCTCATCTCTACTCTGATGGGACCCCTGGTAATTTTGCTGATACTGCTGACTTCCGGACCATGTATACTCAGTAGGCTAGTCCAATTTATGAAGGAAAGATTGGGGACCATCCAACTTATGGTGCAGCGCTCTCAAAACCATAGACCCCTCGGGACAGAAGATATCTGTGAACTAACTATAAGAGACCCAGGATTGGGTCGATCAACAAAAAAAAGGGGAGAATGAAGGGACAAAGCCAACTCCATTTTGTGCTAGGCCCCATGGTGGCTATCAGCAGAGCAAAGTTCCCTAGACAGCAGCCCAGCTGCTCGAGGTTGACATCAGCAGAGTGGAAAATCCCTAGACTTGAGCCAATCAGAGAGTCACCCATAACAATAGAGTTGTTAGCTTTTGCCTTTATAAACCCTGCCTAAGAACAGTAGGGCACCTTCTATGGACCCCGCTGTGTTAGTGTACGAAACAAGGTCCCTGTCACAATTTGCACAGCAGGATTAAACCTTGTTTTTACATTTCAGTAAGTCTGTGTCTCTGGTGGTCTTCTTGGGGTCCCTGTGACTCGGACACAACACTAACCTGATGACACCCAGATATGAGGGAGTGTGATCCAGTGAGAGGAAGGATTCATCACTAGGGTCAGCTTTTGAGGTCTGGGCCTTGACTCTGCAGCTGAGGGGAAATATGGAAAAACTGTCACAGCATACATTGACCTCAGCCTATTCTATTCCTTGGAAGGCCCTAATGGATCAGGCTGAGGCTTTCTCTAGACAAGAACTCATGGCCATCATTGATCCATCTTTCAGGAACTGGTGAGTATGGGATGGTCCTTCTGTTAGGGGAGGGAAGTTCCCACCCAACACCACTCTTATGTATGACTTTTTTTTCCTTTTTTTTTCTTTTTTTTTCTTTTTTTTTTTTAGTTTCCCGAGACTGGGTTTCTCTGTAGCTTTGGAGCCTGTCCTGGAACTAGCTCTTGTAGACCAAGCTGGCCCCAAACTCACAGAGATCTGCCTGCCTCTGCCTCCTGAGTGCTGGGATTAAAAGCATGTGCCAACACTGCCTGCCTAGTTACGACTTTTTTATTAGTTTATTTTTTGACCAAAGAAAGGCTTGGAAATTGCACAAGGTGTTCTGTCTGACCACCATGAAGAAGAATTTTGTATCAGAAAATGGAGCATGAAGAATGGAATCAGGGTGGAGACTCTGGGCCTGGTGGTGGAGGTTTGGAAAACCTGGGCTAAGTCCCAGAGGTCTGTACAGGAAGTCACCACAATGGAGTCACAGAGATGGAGAGTATGGTTGCTAAAGATCCTGATAGAGTGGTGTAGAGACCAATTCAGGGGATTGAGACAGGACAGGGGATGGAAAGCTAAAGATCCAAGGATACATTTCGAGATAGAAATTCCACAGAAAAATATAGAACTAAAATATATACTAGAAAGATACTAGAAAGAGTCAACAGATACACAAATGTCTCAGTGGGGAGGACGTATGGATGTGAGAGTAACAGGCTGTGGTAGTTTGAATGAGAATAACCCCCATGGCTCAGATCTTTGAATACTTGGTCTCCAGTTGGTGGAAATGTTTGGGACAGATTAGGAGATGTGGCCTTGTTGGAGGAGATGGGTCACTAGGGATGGGTTGAGGTTTCCAAAGCCCATGCCTTTCCCAGATGGTGCTCTATCTACCTCCTACATGGATGAGATGTAAGCTCTGAGCTACTGCTTCAGCACCATGACTGTCCACCTGCTTTCATGTTCCTGACCATGACGGTCATGGCTTCACCTCTGAAACTGTGAGCCCCAGTGAATCCTTTTTCCTCTAGGCTGTGCTGGTCATGGTGTCTTCGCAGTGCAATGGAAGAGTAACTAAGGCAAAGGGCATGAAGGAGGACAGACTCTCAAAGAGAGATCAGAGATGAGACCAGAGAGAGCAGATGCACAAGGAGTCCCACCATGGCAGATGCCTGGAGAATAATTGACACAGCACGGTTTCTGAAATACAGGTCAACCAAGAGATGGCACTATTATCTGAAAATCAGCCAGAGGAACAATGTAAGGGACACCTAGAGCTTGATGATGTGCCTCTCGTTTCCAGGGTCTTGCTGAACCCAGCCCTCCTCTTTCACTCCATCATGTCCAACACCATCTGCTCCGTGATTTTTGGTGAGCGCTTAAATTTCTAGGATCTCAAATTTTTACATTCACTAAGTTCCCTGAGCAAAACACTCACTATCACCAGCTCTTTCTATAGCCAGCTAAGGTCAGGGGTTCCACCGTGGGCCAGGAATCAGTGTGGGTGGATTCTGGGAAGAGACCAGGGGTCTAGAACACAGACGCAGGAAAGAAAATCCCCAGAGGTCAGATTTCCAGAGAAGTGGTTATTTTATCCTCTCCGTGCTTCTGAGTGCGGTATCACTCAATGGGTAACCGGCAGCATCCATAGCAACTGAACAAAAGGAGCTGTATCGAGGTATGCTCAGATTGCAGGGTGTGTGCCCAGCATGCATGGAGCCTTAAGTCTGAGTCTTAGCATCACATAAAGGAATTGTACTGGGGCAAACAAATAAAGAATAACATTGAAATGTGCTTCTCAGGAAGCACTCTGAGAGGGAGGCCCCTGGGTGAACCACTGAAAACACCAAGCTGCTCCCCACATGTACCTGAAGATGCTCACAAATATGGACAAGATCCAGAAGAATATAGAAAATGAGGCTGTTGTCCTCTGAGTCCTTTGCCCCAGGAATCTGAGGCGGGAAAATAATGTGTACAGGCCATGGATTTGGACATAACACCTTGCCCCAGGCCCTACAGGCTGGAAGCAAGAGCCATTGTCCTAGGTTAATAAATTAGTTACCCTGCAGTCATCACCTCATTAACTAGGGTGCAGCCAATAATGTCACCATCTCCCTTTGTTTTCTGAGACAGTCTTTACTCTGACCTGTAGCTGCACACCCTCCTGACCGACCCGCTCCAGTGCTTGGCTTCCACAGCTAGCCTTTCTTTTTCCTCCTTTATTTTTATTTAGTTATTTTTGTGGGGTCTTTTTTAAAGATTTATTTACTTATTATGTGTACAGTGTTCTGTCTGCATGTCAGAAGAGGGTATCAGATCTCATTACAGATGATTGTAAGCCACCACGTGGTTGCTGAGAATTGAGCTCAGGACCTCTAGAAGAGCAGCCAGTTCTCTTAACCTCTGGGCCATCTCTCCGGCCCTGATAGGGTCTTGTGTAGCCCAGGTTAATCTCAAACTCTGCTTCTTACCTGCGGGCAACTTTCAGCTTCTGATCCTCCTGCCTCTCCTAGACAAGTTCAATAGGGGTTGGGAAACAAAAAATGAAGGCTCCTGCAATCTGCTTGCTGTGGCTTGAATGTGTACTTGTACTAATTAATTTGTCAATTTGACACAAACTACGGTCATGTGGGGAAAGGAAACATCAATTAAGAAAACACCTCCACCAAATCAGCCTGTAGGCAAGTCTGTAGGACATTTTCTTCATTAAAGATTGATGTGAGGGGGCTGGAGAGATGGCTCAGAGGTTAAGAACACTGATTATTCTTCCAGAGGTCCTGAGTTCAATTCCCAGCAACCATATGGTGGCTCACAACCATCTGTAGAAATCTGGTGCCCTCTTTTGGCCTGCAGGCACACATGCAGACAGAATACTGTAAAGAAAGTAAATAAATAAATCTTTTTAAAAAATAAATAAATAAAAAATAAAGATTGATGTGAGAGGCCCAGTTCACTTTGGTGCTGCCCCCTCCCCGGGCAGATGGCCCTAGGCTGTATAAGAAAGTAGGCTGGGCCAGGTAGTAGTGTTGTAGGCCTTTAATCCCAGCATTTGGGAAGCAGAGGAAGTCAGGCCTCTCTGAGTTTGAGGCCAACCTGTGAGTTCCAGGACAGCCAGGGCTACACAGAAACTCTGTTTCAAGGGAAAAAGAAAAAGAAAGAGAGAAAAAGGGAAAAAGTAGACGGATTGAGCCATGGGGCGTAGGCCAGTAAGCATTGTTTCCTCATGCCCCCTGCTTCAGTTCCTGCCTTCAGGTTCCACCCTGACTTCCCTCGGGAATGGACCGTGACATGGAAGAGTAGAATAAGCCCTTCCTCCCCAAGGTGCTTTGTCGAGATGATGTTGATCACAGCCATTCCATTAGAAGCAAATTTGGTCAGCTCTGAGATTTAATAGGCAAGACGTGGAGCAGAGACCATCAGGAGAGTACAGCCCTACAATGTAGCTCAGGTTGTCACTGTGGGATCCTGCATTCTCTCTGTATCTCCAAGGTTTTAGATTTTCTTACGTGAATGAATGAATGCTTGCATGTATATGCATCATGTGTGTGTGTATGTGTGTGTGTGTGTGTTGCCCTTGGAGATCAGAAGAGGGCATGAGATCCCCTGGAACTGTTGTTAATAGCTGTCATGAGCCACCATGTGGGTAACACCCCAGCCACCCTTAGATCATTCCTGCACACTTCCTGTTATCGGATGACACAGTCAGACCCTACTTGACCCTTGACCTTTACAGCCTATGAAGCTGTAAGAAATCACAGTCCTTTATACATGATACAACTTGGAGAATCTGTGGGAGCGGTGTAAATCAGAAGCTCAGAAGTGGACAGAAGCAAGCGGGTTCAGGGAGGACGGTCTGACCAAGACTAGGGAGAAAGGAGGAGAAGCAGCTAATGAACCATTCACGTTTACTAAGAGCCTTTTTGTCAATAGTAAACACTTTGGAAAAACATCTGCAGTGTTGGTTACCGTAAAAACCCTCCCCAGTGAACTCAGGGCCCAAAATTCCACATTCTGAAGAATGTGTTTCAGTTCATGTTAGTCTGATAAATACAGAATTTAAAAAAAAAAAACTTTGTTTTAGTCTATAAAGTACAAATCCTAAAAATCCTAAGTACAGAGTTGCTATGTTGTTCAAAGCACCATGGCTAGATGGGACAGGCCACACACTAGAGATGTGTGGAAGCCCCTGTGCCTTCTGGGAGATGATTTAAGGCTCTTCATAGGATTACTGAGGAATATGAAGCAGTATGAATGCAGGGTTGGGAACTGGCTAGCGTTTTCAAACATGAGTCTTACTTGTAGAGCCCTTCTCCACTTTCTTCAGGAATCATAGGGCCCTGAGTCACACACAGCTCTGCATAGCAGAATACAGAGGAGCATTTCCTATGAGGAAGTGACGCTCAGTCAACACCTGCCAATGTCCGGCTTTGGTTAAAGCCCTTCCTGCAGCCTGTCTTCAGAGACCTGGATGGATGCTGGGGTTTGCCCGGCTGTGTCATAACCCGAGGGTGGCAACTTCTGTTCGTGGTGACTGTACGTGGATAGTGCAATTTTTCTCCCTTCTGTGATTCACAACATTTGTAAAGAATCAATCTCCCAAACAAAGCGCGTCTCCCCTGTGAAGTCTTCAAAGGCTCTGGGTTCTGAGGAACTTCTGACAATCAGCAGCACGGATTTCCAGGGAGATAAGATGTCTTACAGGGCTCCTACAGATTCGCCGCGGTATGGACCCGCTGGTGGTAGACCAGATGTGACCTCTGACTGAAACCCTTACTGCAGATGCTGCAGATGTAGGGCCTCTCCCCGGTGTGGACCCTCTGGTGCGTGTGGAAGTGTGAGGCCTGACTGAAGCCTTTCCCACACTGCTGGCATGTGTAGGGTTTCTCACCTGTGTGGACCCTCTGGTGAGCACTAAGTCCTGCGCTCCAGCTGAATTCCTTCCCGCACGCCTCACACTTGAACGGCTTCTCCCCAGTGTGAATGATCTGATGGACCTGGAGATTGGACCTCTGGCTGAAGGCTTTCCCACACGTGTCGCATTTGTAGGGCTTTTCGCCTGTGTGAACTCTCTGGTGAGCCTGGAGGTGTGAGGCCTGACTAAACCGTTTCGGGCATGCGTTGCATTGGAACGGCTTCTCCCCGGTGTGGACACTCTGATGGGCCTGCAGATTTGAGGCCTGACTGAAGCCTTTCCCACACACCTCACATTTATAGGGCTTCTCTCCCGTGTGGACTCTCTGGTGATTGTGAAGGTTCAAGCTCCAGTTGAAGCGCTTCCCACACACATCACACTTGTACGGTTTTTCCCCGGTGTGAACTCTCTGGTGGGCTTGAAAGTACGAGCTCTGACTGAAGCCCTTCCCACACACGCTGCAGCGAAACGGCTTCTCTCCCGTGTGGACCCGCTGGTGGCTCTGGAAGCTTGAGGCTGAACTGAAACCTTTCCCGCACTCCTCGCACTTATAGGGCTTCTCCCCTGTGTGGACTCGCTGGTGACTGTGCAGGTTGAAGCTCAAGCTGAAGCGCTTCCCACACGCGTCACACTTGTAGGGTTTCTCCTCGGTGTGGACCCTCTGGTGGGTGTGGAGGTTCGAGCTACAGCTGAAGCCTTTGCCACAGTCTCCACATTTGTAAGGCTTCTCTCCTGTGTGGATTCTCTCATGGGCCTGGAGGTGTGACCTCTGCGTGAAGCCCTTCCCACACACCTCGCATTTGTAAGGTTTCTCTCCAGTGTGGACTCGGCAGTGGATGTTGAGGTCTGTACTCCGGCTGAAGCCTTTCCCACAGTTGTCACACCGGTAGGGCTTCTCGCCCGTGTGGATGGGCAGATGCGCATACAGATGCGAGCTCTGGTTAAAACTCTTCCCACACTCAGGGCAGGTAAAGGGCTTCTCCCCCGTGTGAACTCTCTGGTGCGTCTGCAGATTTGAGCTCTGACTGAAGCCTTTGCCACACTCGTGACACCAGTAGCGCTTTTTCCCTGGATGAACATTTTGTTGAGCGGAGACACTGGAGCTATGCCTGCTGTCCTCGTGTGTCCTGTGTACAGGGGACTTCTTTCCTAAGAGGACCTGCTGATGGAGTCCCAGACTCGGGCGGCCACTGAAGGCTTCTTCACCCTTGCTGCATTGCTGGGCCTTCTGCTCTGTGGAAACAAGATGAGGGGTGCAGGGCGACACTGCAAAACTGATTTTATCGCAGTCGCCGCTGTTATGGGCTTTGCCTCCTTTGTGCAGCACTTTGTTATTGCCGGGGAACATCCAACCCAGAATGTCACCACCCGGAGGCGGCAGCCATGACTTGGTTTTCACCAGAGGCTGTTGACAGTGTCTCCAAAGGTTCTGTCTATCGCTAAGATTTGTTTCACTCCAAGAACTCTGAGTTCTCTGAGTTCTCCCAGATGGACATTGTTGGTTTTCAGTAATACTAGAATGTTCTCCTGTGAGACTCTCAAGACAGCTGTCATCCATGCAGGCCCAGGGTAGCCCTTCTGCTCCCCTGTGGCGGGTGGAGGGACACTGCTCCAGAAAGTGAGAACCCTTTCCTTGGGTGTTTACCATGGCACCTGGAGCTCCCACACGTGACGCTCCTGCCAGTTTGCTGACATCACGGCTCATCATGTGCCAGCACGGAAGCCGCCCCAGTAAGAGGCACCTTAATCCTGCTGTAAGAAGAGTCTCCATCTTGTTTGGACCTTGGCCTCCTGAAAGAATAGAGAACAGAAGGTGACATCAGCAAAGATGGGGACATCAAGTCCTGGGGGTTTTTTTCTGGAAACATTAGAGACCAGCTTTGAGGGTGAACTTCCGGGAGTTCTGGGAATTAGGTTCTACAATAAAGATGGCATGCACTCAAGAGTGTGACATGGTGGGAAATTTAGGGCGAGCCCAAGAGCAAAGGCTCAAGGACACCTTTATCCTCTGCCTCCTACCTGTCTCACATAGGCCTGTGCATAGCTGTGCAGACTAATGGGGGCAGGGGGAGTGCTTTTCAGGATCTGTTTTTATTTGCGGGATGGTGTGGGTTGAAGTAAGCATGGGTCCTCCCTGAGACAGGAAGGAGCAGAGAGGACCAGGCCTGCCTGGTCCAAACCTGTCTGTGGGCCATGTGAAGACCGACCTGGTTTACCTGACTCAGAGCCAGGATGAGAGTGTAATGGGGAGGCACAAGAAACTTTGAGGCTGAGGGAAAGAGGGAAGATATAAAGAGAGTGAATGGAACAGCAAGGGCTCAGAAACCGAGGTCCAGCTTGAGAACATCAGTGCAAAAGCACACATTATAGAAGATTGGAATGACTTCATCGCACATACTCACTTGGAAACTACTAGAAGACAGTTAAAGCATTCAGAGGGCAAGCCTCCAAACACACCGGCTGAGTAGGGAAGGCCTTCTCTGGGGAAAAGGCAGAATGCAGAGACAGGAATGAACAGAATTGGTTTTCTTCAAACACCTGCTCTCCAGGATCGCGGAGGATGGGGTAAGAGGCTCAGACATCTGAGTAGATCTCAGAAGTCAACCAAAACCAGCAGATGCCCTGATTCAATAACAAAGGTTACAACACTGTCCAACAGGTCCCCCAAGGACACCAGACAATGACAATATGAAAGCGAGCCAAACAAATCCTGAAGCGGGAACTTCGGTAACTTCGGTAACTTCGGTGACTCTGGGAGGCAGTGCAGTGGCTTGTGGGAAGCACCGGGAACAAAGTCAGCGGGAGAAAGAGCGAGAGGATCAGATCAGGGGTCAGGAGAGGGATGTTCCTGTGAGGAGCACTGAAGGCCTTCTCAAGGCAGACGACACTGCAGCTGCACACCCAAAGACACAGGCTCCACAGAGTCGCTGTTCAGTGTACACTCGGGATTTGGGTTCAAATCTATGGTGACGAGTCTGGTGGTGCTCAGACACCAGCAGATGCGAGCGCAAAATGTGGGGAGTAAGCAGGACATACAGTTGAAGCAGCTTGGAGCAGAAGGACCTGCAGAAACTTCTGAGCAGACCGATGCAGAGTCTGAGAGGGTGGCATGGCACTTCATCAGGGAAGAATGTTCCAGCCAGAGAGAAGCAAGTAATGGCGGCAGAAACAGAAGCAGGAAGAAAATGGAAATGGGCAGAGCTGAAAGTGTGAGCCCTAGGAAGGTGGGGTCCCAGGCAGGCACAGTGGACCCTAGTGCTTGGGAAGCTGAGGCAGGGAGGATCACAGGTTTCTGGACAAGCCTGAGCTACATAGCAAGCTCTTGTCACAAAACAAAAAACAAAACAAAAAACAAAAAAAAACTCAAAACAACTACTTGATTTTACTGAGTAAAATGTAAAATGTGAAGCCAAGAGTCTGAGGCAGGAGTAGCACAATGTAACTCTCTGGTTGTGGTTGAAGCACCCCCACAGGGGAGGAGCAGTCCTGGGGCTCTGGTAGCTGCACTTATCTCTCTGGGTCAAAGATACAAGAAAGGGGTTGTGGAATCTCCCTTCACAGCTAAGGAAAGCTGCTGAGGCCAGACATGTGTCAGGGGTGTCCTGCATGGAGACCCAATGAGGCCTTTGGCTGGAGCTGTGAAGGTGAAGCCTGAACTTGCTAGAGACCCCAGAGTCATAAGAGAGTGGACCCAGCCCAAGAGAGAGAGGTGTGCAAGGAGCAACAGATCGGAAGGGCATCTTCCGACACCAGACATGGAGATACATTGGCATTTGCCCAGCTGGTTTTCAGTCTTGCTCTGTTCCAGCATGTCCTATGCTCCCTCCCCTTCGTTTTGGAATGGTAATGACTATCCCGTGCCCTTGAGTGTTGGAAGTATGTGAGCTGCTTTTCCATTTTGATTTTACAGGAGATTCCAGTTAAGAGTTTGCCATGAATCTAAGAAGAGGCTTTGAACTAAGGATTTTCAAACAGAATTGAGACTATGATAGACTATGGATCATCATCATAGGGACTTCTGAAGTTGGACTAAATGCAGTTTTGCATTCTGATATGGCTACAAACCTATGGGGAGCAAGGAGTAGAAAGTGGTGGTTTGAATGAAAATGACTCCAATAGGCCTATTGGGAATGGCACTATTAGGAGCTGCGTCCTTTGTTGGAGGAAGTGGGGGCAAGATGTGGGGTTTCAAATGATCAAGCCAAGCCCAGTGTCTCTCTGTTGCAATAAGGCCGCTTGTTTGGTTCCCGACTGCTCAGCCCCGAAATAATCACACAGAAACCATATTATATGCAACACTGTTTGGCCAATAGCCTAAGTGTATTTTTTGGCTAACTCATATCCTAAACTAACCCATCTCTATTAATCTGTGTATCGCCACCTGGCTCTGCTATAGGCCCAAAGCAGTTCCTTTATTAACCAATGGTATTCACAGCATACAGTGGGGAATCCCACATCATCTTCCTCTTCCTGCTGCCTTCGAGTCTGGATGTAGAACCATCAGTTCTCATGTCTGCCCATGTGCCGCCATGCTTCCCACCATGATGATAATGGACCAAACCTCTGAGACTGTCAGTCAGCACCAAATAAATGCTTTCTTTCATAGAAGCTATCATGGCCACAGTGTCTCTTCACAGTAACAGAACATTGACAAAGGCACACACACTCACCTGCAAGCGCACTCACGTATACATAAAGAGTGTTTTAGAAAACTTCTAAACAACAGCATCTGTGTGTAAAACACAGTTTTAAGAAATCAAGAGGAGGGCCTAGAGAGACCAATCTGAGTGCTGACTTGTAGAAGGAGACTGCACCTCTACTCACCACCAACACACAGAGCCTATCTGAAAAACATGTGGCTACCAAGAAACTGTGCTTGGCTCCCAATGTTGTGAGTCTAGAAGTTCTTTTCTTTCTTTGTAAGCTTTTTTAGGTCTTATATGGATCCGTGCCCCACGTTGAGCACCATTATGTAAACGGAGACTGCTCATTCATTTCCCGGCTGCCCAGACCCAAATTTTTTGCCCAGACACAGAAACTATATTAATTACAACACTGCTTAGCCAATCGCTCAGCTGTATTTCTAGATAGCTCTTATATCTTAAATTAACTCATTTCTATTATTTTATGTATTGCCATGAGGCTCATGGTTTGTTACCTCTTGCTTCTTGGGCAGCTACACGGTATCTCCCTGACTCTGCCTACTCTCTCTATATATAGCTCCGTTCAGATTTCCCACCTGACTTTACTCTGCTAAGCCATTGACCAAAGCAGCTTTATTCATCAACCAATAAAAGCAACACATATACAGAAGGACTTCCCACATCACTGACTGCTCTTCCAGACGACCCAGGTTGGTCTTGCAGCACCCGCATGATAGCTCCAAACCATCTGTAACCCCCGTTTCAGGGGATGTGATATCCTCTTCTGACCTCTGTGGGCACCATGCAAACAAAACACCCAGAAATTCACAAAATAAAAAATAAATAAACCTAAGAGAAAAGCAGTGAGAGCAACTGAAGAAGACACCGATGTGAACTTGGGACACTGCCAAGGGACACAGGCCGCCATCCTCACCCACTGACAGAAGGTTCCTGAAGGTCTCCAGCATCACATCACAGTACAGCTTCCTCTGGGCAGCGTCCAGCATCCCCAGCTCCTCCTCACTGAAGACCACGGCCACGTCCCTGAACGTCACTGCCTCCTGTAACAGCAAACACGCACCACCTCAGTTTCATACCCAGTGCCACTAGGACCTGAGCAACTATGTACAGGGGGCCTAACCACTCCTTTCCATGGCTACAGAGAGAAAAACACCAGCACAAGGAACATCGGCGCCTTTTGTGTAGCGGGGTCACTGTTAAAGGGGATGCCACAGAGATCCGAGTTAGAGAGCGCAAACCCATGTCAGGAATAATGTGCCGACTTTGTGCTGGAAACAGCTGGCAATGCCCAGCTCCTCCTGGGCAGCAAGGCTCGGGTGTACCTTCATCCCCAAATTCAAAATGTTCTGAAACTCATTTTATGAGTGATGACATCATTTTAAAGTGTTTCACACTGGCAGAACATGATAGAGTTCTGATTCAGAATTCTTTATTTGTAAAGTCTACACAAGTATTTCCAAATCCAAACTTCTACGTATGAATAGTTTCTGTGTCCTGGAGTATTATATGACAGATGGCACTCAAGTCTGAATCATTCGTGTTCTTAGTCCTGTCAATCTAACAGGCTTGCGGGAACTTTCTGGAACAGACAGCAGCTCTATTCTGTGTTCTCAGGAGCATGCCTCTGCCAACAGCAGCTGCGGTCAGGATCATAGGTGCAAGCACAGGCTCTACAAACCATAGGAGCCTTGGTTCATGCTCCAAGGCTCTGTGCATCCCTGGCCTGATGAGCTTGGGAAACTGACTTCTCAGTGCCTCAGTTTCCCCATTAATGAGACCACAGAAAGGACCTAGGACCACATATGAAACACAATATATGTCCAGCAACACTACCATCATTGTCTGTATTATGCCATTCATGATCACATAGTGTTCCATAAAGGCTGTACTATACACATATAAATTTTAAAGGACACTACCCATACAAATACAATAAATGTAAATTTTTTAATTAAGTGAAAGTTTCAGAAAATTGTTATTTTTAATCATTTACCAAAGTACCCAAGTTTTTTTTTTAAGTGTCCTGGTTATGCCAGAATATTAAAGAATGAGGGATACTTATTGTCTGCAATTAACTGGAAAAGCTACCACTGCTTTTAGCAAAATAAATGCATTTACTCCTTGGAACTAACTGTAGGTAGCTGGAGAACTTGGCTGAACACCATGTAAAATACACTCCTTTGCATTATAATTCCTGTTTAAATGAACTGAAACATGCCTCAGCCTCCTACTGCTCAATGGTAGGTCATAAATGTACTGAGTTTTCGAGCTGCTGGTGTCTCCATCAGAGCACATGACTCATGTGATGCCAGCTTGTCTGCACATGTTTCTGTGTGTCTCTCCTTTCCTCATTCCTCCACCACCCCCACCCAGTTGGGTCCACCTCCAAACCTGTGTAGATGGCAGCAGCCAGATACTCTCTGACTGTGCAGGATCTGAATACTCAGAATGCCAAAGGAGGCAAATGAATGTGACCAGTCCTCTGTATGCACATGTGTACATAAGTATGCATGCATGTATGTGTAATTATGTGCATGAGTGTGCACACACACGTAAAGGCCAGGAGACAACCTCGGTGTCCTTCCTCAAGGGCCAGCCACCTTTTTCTGTTTTTGTTCAGGGCCTTTCGGCGGCCTGGAACTTGCCAACTAGAAGACCCTACTTCGTCAAGGTACTACTTCTTCAAGAGGAAGGCCCAACTCCCAAAAGCTGTCCTCTGACATCTACATGAATGCCTTGTCATGCTCACATCCACCACCACTGGCCCCGGTATACACACACACACACACACACACACACACACACACACACACACACAATTAGTAGTACAAAATTTAAAAATGAAAAAGTTTCATAAACCACACCAATATGGAGAACTCACACTCAGTTGCAAAATAAAATTGGCAAACCACAGAAAATGATGTTACTTTTAAAATGTACGTGAACTTAATTCTTTTTTAATGTATGTGTATGTTATCGGCTATGTGTGTGTACATGTGTGTGCAGATACCCTGAGAGGCCGGAAGAGGGCATTGGATCTCCTGGAGTTGGAGTTACCGGCACTTTTGAGTTATCAGAAGTGTGTGCACTGGGAGCCAAACACCAGCTGGAAGAACAGCTCAACTGCTGAGCCATCTCTCCAGCACACTTTCTCTATTTCAAAATTTATTCTTTTACAAATTTTTACAGCACACTTTGAGCACATGCCCCCACTATCCTTTTTTACCACCACACCCTCCCCCCCCTCCCCGCCCGACCTTTCTTCTTAGCAACACCCTCTCACACTTTCACTCAGTTCAGTGTGGCTTGGCTACTGAGTGCTTGCCCAGCATACAGAGGTCCTGTTTTCAATCCCTAGCCCTGAGGGGAGTGCAGGAAGCCCATTCAATTTACCTTTAACTTGGTCATTGTTCTCTTCTTTTCTCTGGGGCAAGGCAGGGCTCTGGGACGCAGGCTGGGGTAGAAGCGTTTTGTGAGAGCATTGTTAGCACAGTTAGTCCAGCGACTTCCTCAGCTTCTTCATCTGCCCCAAGCGCTGCCATTCCACGTCTGTGTGCTTCAGCCTGGCTTTTCTACCTATTTCGCACTAACCTGCAGAGTAAGCTCCAGGATACCAAGCCACCCGTGCTCCACCTCACCCACCGCAAAGTGTTAGCAAAGTCTGCATTCCTATTCCCTGCAGCTTCGGGGCTGCAGCAGACACTCTTAACTTCACAAAGCTGCTCGCAACTCTGATGAAAGATGTGTGTGAGTGATCATCAAACTCACAAGGGTCTGTTCATTGTGATCAGCTATCTTAATATAATTGTTTCCATCCGTAGGAGTTAAATTGTCCCCTCCCCCGTCTCTCGTTCTAAAAGATGTAATTACTAGTAAACGTTGCTCATCTCCAAAAGCCTCCACAAAGTCTCTTCTCCCACACGCATGAAGATAATGACCAATAAAAACGTAAAACCCTCTCTAAAGAAAGGGGAGTTTGGATCGGTGAGATGGCACAGCGGGCAGAGGTGACTGCCGCTGAGCGTGACCGCCTGAGTTCAATTCTCTGGACCCCACACGGAGGAAGGAGAGACTCGATTCTCAAAAGTTGTCTTCTGACCTCCTCCATACACACAAGCTGTGGTACGGCCCCCTCTCTAAGTAAATAAATAACCGCAGAAATATTGCATTTTAAAAACAGAATTGCATACCATTTAAGGCTTCAGGATGCTGGCCATCTGTCATCACAGCTCCTCTTGCCTGGCTCCAGGGGGATGCTAGACTCTCCCGTGGGCTCCCAGCAGCTGAGATGGGTCCAGAAATCCCGGGCAGCGCCGCCTCATGCAGAGTCCAGAGAGAGAAGACCAAGCCGCGGCCGCCCCGCTTCCTCCCAGGTCGCAGGCTCGGTACCTGCGGGGAAGACTCCGGTAACACGAGCACACACGATGGGCCACGGGACGCTCCGGGATCTCCCTCGCTAGAAGCACTGCTTGGCAGCCTCCCCTTGCAGAAGCGGAAGCGATCCCCGACAGCCGCTGATACCAAAACCACAATTCCCAGAATGCCTCAGAGGAAGCGCCTAGCTCTGACGCCTCCCTAGCACTACATTCCCCAGAACGCTAAAGCGTCCATAAGCTTCAAGCTATTCTAAACAGAGTGCACTCAGCAGAAATCGGTTTTCAGGAGCTTGTTCTCAGGACTGCTTTTCGTTTTGTACATTTCTGAAATGCCATTAAAGACAACTGTGGATACTTTTTAAAAATTGATGTACTATATTATATTGCATTACAAAGTTTTTTGGTTTGGGGATTTTTGTTTGTTTGTTTTTCGAAGGACGGTTTCTCTGTAGCTTTGGAGCTGGCCCTGGAACTCACTCTGTAGACCAGGCTGGCATCAAACTCATGGACACCCCACCCCCACCCCGTGCTGTGCACCACCACCGTCTAGCTGCATTACAAAAGTTTAAAGCTTAAACTGCACAGCTGTGGGAACTTGGCTCAGCAGCAGAGCCAGAGCCCCTGCTTAGAAACCTTCAGTGAGGAATGGGGGTGGTCTCAACCGTAGAGCCCCTGCCTAGAATCCCCCAGTGAGGGGCTGGGGTGTGGCTCAGTGGTAGAGCTCCAGAACACAGACTGTTTTGGTCACCTTCTTTGTTTTTTGTTTGTTGGTTTTTGAGATAGGGTTTCTCTGTGTAGCCCTGGCTGTGTGTCCTGAAACTAGCTGTGTAGATCAGGCTGCTCTCAAACTCAAAGAGATTCTCCTGCCTCGGTCTTCCAAGTGCTGAGATTAAAGGCCACCACCACCTGGCTTGAGTCACTGTTCCATTGCTGTAAAGAGACACTATGACCAAGGGAACTCTTAAAATAGAGAGCATTTATTTGGGGGCCTGTTTACAGTTTCAGAGGCTTAGTTCATGGAGAGCATGGCAGCATACTGGCAGCTGCCAGGGCAGCAAATGAATGCTACATCCGAATCCATAGCCACAGAGGTAGAGAAAAAGACTGGGCCTGATGTGTGCTTTTGAAACCTCACAGCCCACACCCCCAGTAACACACCTTCTTCAACAAGGCCACACCTCCCAATCCTTCTAATTCTTTCAGAGTTCCACTTCCTGATGTAGCAGCTTTCTTTTAGGTCACCAACCAGCTCCCAAATCATGATGCAGAGACTTATTAATTATGAATGCTTGGTCTTACCTTATGCTTATCCCACTAGCTCTTATAACTTAATATGTTTCTCTTCATCTATGCTACGCCTTGGGGATTTTACCTTTCCGCCATTCTGTAAGACCTACTCCATGTCTGGCTGGCTGGCAGCTGCCTGGCTGGCCCCAAGCAACTCCCACTCTTTCTTGCTTGTTCTCTCTTCTCTCCAGCCTGCCTCGAGGCCACCAGCTCTGCCTATCCCTCTATTGCCTAGCTATTGGCCATTTAGCTTTATATTAGACCAATCAGGTGCCTTAGGCAGGCAAAGCAACACATCTCCACATAGTTAAGCAAATGCAGCATAAACAAATGTAACACATCTTCTTTACACAGGTAAAGTAATAATCCACAACAGCCTGGTGACTATGCACTTGAATATTGGGCCTATAGCGGTCATTCTTATTCAAACCACAACATTCCACTCCCTGGCCCCCATAGACTTATAAGCATATCTTAAAGCATAAATGCATTTTACTCACTTCAAAACTCCCAATAGTCTATCATATGCTCAACATTGTTTAAAAGTCCAAAGTCTCTTCTGAGACGCATGCAATCTCTTAACTGCAATTCTCTGTAAAAATAAAAATTACACTTACTACAAACAATGGCACAGAATAGACATTACCATTCCAAAAGGGAGGAAAGGGAGCATAGTGAGGAAAGACTGGGCAAAAGTAAGACCAAAAACCAGCTGGACAAACTCCAAATTCTGCATCTCCATTTCTGATGTCAAAGGGCTCTTCAGATCTCCAAATCCTTTTAGCTTTGTTGACTGCAACACCCTTTTTCCTCTTGGGCTGTCTCCACTGTTAGCAGCTCTCCTTGGCAGGTATCCCACATCTCCAGCACCTCCAGCATCTTGGGGTCTCCAACATAATACAAGTTTCACCTTCACAGTTTCACACGGTGGCCTTTCTAGGCCTTCATACAAGAAAATTCTGAATCACTGATGGCCTCGGAGGCTTTCCTTAACTGTATAGGAAGATTACATTACCTCTTTCTTTTCTTAAAAAGATTTGTTTAGGGATTGGAGAGATGGCTCAGTGGTTAAGAGCATTGCCTGCTCTTCCAAAGGTCCTGAGTTCAATTCCCAGCAACCATATGGTGGCTCACAACCATCTGTAATGAGGTCTGGTGCCCTCTTCTGGCCTGCAAGCATACATGCAGACAGAATATTGTATACATAATAAATAAATAAATAAAAAGATTTGTTTATATGACATCTTGAATTCTGCATGCAAATGGATGGAAATATAAAACGCTTTACTGAGTGAGGTAACCCAGACCCAAAAAGAGGAATATGGTATGTACTCACTCATAAGTGGATTCTAGCCATAATTAAAGGTCTTTGAGCCTATAATTTGTGATCCTAGAGAAGCTAAATAAGAAGGTGAACCTAAAGAAAATCATATAGTTATCCTCCTGGATATTGGAAGTAGACAAGATTGCCAGGCAAACTTGGGTGCACGGGAGGGGGGGTGGGGGTGGATGTAAGGGGAGATGGGTAGAGAGAAGGGAGAAGGGGAGGATTCGGGATAGCTTTGAGGGATGGGATGGGTGGGATGGAGGAAGGATGGATATGGGAGCAGGGAAGTAAATATCTCAACTAAGGGAGCCATTTTAGGTTTTGCAAGAGACTTGATTCTAGAGGGGTTCCCAAGTTCAAGGAGAGGTCCCCAGATTGTTCCCTGGACAGCAGAGGAGAGGGTGCCTGAACTGGCCTTGTCAGTTGGCAAGGCCCATAGCCTTATGGGACATGTCCTTATGGGACAGTATGGCTTGTCCCATAGCCATACTGATGAATATTTTGCATATCACCATAGAACCTTCATCTGGCGATGGGTGGAGATAGAGACAGAGACCCACATTGGAACACTGGACTTAGCTCCCTAGGTACAAATGAGAAGCAGAAGGAAGGAGAACATGAGCAAGGAAGTCAAGATCACGAGGGGTGCGTCCACCCACTGGGATGGTGGGACTGATCTAATGGGAGCTCACCAAGGCCAGCTGGACTGGGAGTGACGGAGCATGTGATCAAAATGGACACTCTGAATGTGGCTGGCAATGAAGGCTGACTGAGAAGCCAAGGACAATGGCACTGGGTTTTGATTCTACTGTGTGGACTGACTTTGTGGGAGCCTGGTTTGTTTGGATGCTCACCTTTATAGACCTGGATGGAGGGGGAAGGACCTTGGACTTCCCACGGGACAGGGAACCCTGACTGCTCTTAAGACTAGAGAGGGATAGGGAGGTGGGGAAAGGGAGGTGGGGAGGGAGAGGTGCAGAGGGGGAGGTGGGGAGGGGGAGGTGGGGAGGGAGAGGGAAAAGGGAGGTGGGGAAGAGGTGGAAATTTTTAATAAATAAATAAATTATTTAAAAAAGATTTATTTATTTGTATTATATACAGTGTTCGGCCTGACTGCAGGCCAAAAGAGGGCACCAGATCTCATTACAGATGGTTATGAGTCACCATGTGGTTGCTGGGAATTGAACTCAGGACCTCTGGAAGAGCTCTTAACTGCTGAACCATCTCTTGTATCCTTGTATTCGTGTATCCAGGACTCTAAACTCACGTGGCCAAAACTGCCAAGTTCTGATGCTTTATGTGGCTGGAACTTGACCTCTTTGTTCAAATACATCTGCATCATCTTTCTGTGGTTGTGAAAGTGAATTAAAGAAAAGCTTAAGCAGTTAAATATTTGAGCTCTTTTTAAATTTTTTTTCACAAGTTGGAAACTTAGCTGGGTGGGGTCTTGCCCTAAGGTCAACATTCTCTTCATTCCATCTAGCATCAACCTTTCTTTAAACTTTTTTATTTCCTTGAGCACTGGACTGAGATCCATTGCACTTCCCAGTGCTTCTTTTTGCCCCGGATTATACATTCTGTGCTTTCTCTGTCCAGCTTGCTTCTTTCCATTACAGGACTCCTTGAGAGTGACCACTAATAACCACACGACAGAGTCAATAGGAGGGTGTCTTGAAATCTCCTCTGCTTACACCATTCACCCAAAACTCTTCAAATTAGCTTCAGGAAGATTTTTAGGACAAGAGCAAAAATCAGCCACTTTTCTTTTTTTTTTGGTCGAAATATTGCAAGAATGGACTCTAGACTGTTTTCTCATACTCTTCTCGTCTGAAACTTCTTGACCTGGGTCCGCACAGTTCAGATCACCCTCAGCACCACTGTCTTCCATGTTCCTGCTAGAACAGTCCATTAAGCTCTGGTTAAAGCTCCACTTGCTTTTCTAGTCCAAAGTCCCAAAGTCTTTCATATTTCTCCAATTTTGTAGTTGTTTGAATGTCATTGACACATAAGCCTATAGGGAGTGGCACTATTAGGAGGTGTGACCTTGTTGGAGGAAGTGTGTCACTCTGGGGGCAAGATTTGAGGTCTCCTATGTGCTTAATCTGTTCCCAGTGTTACAGTCTACTTCCTATTGCCTGCATAGCAAGCAGTAGCAGTTCCTTCTCCAGCACCATGTCTACCTGCATGCCACCATGCTCCCTGCCATGATGATAATAGACGAAACCTCTGAAACCATAGGCCACTACCTCAATTAAATGTCTTCCTTCATAAAAGTTACCATGGTCATGATGTCTCTTCACAGCAATACAAACACTAATTAAAACAGAAGTTGGTACCAGAAACTGGGGTATTATTGTGATAGGCTGGACTACGTTTTTCTGTGAAGGAATTTGGACTTTGGGAGTTTAGGTTAAGAAAGCAGTTGAATGTTTTAAGTGTTGCCTAATGGGTCGTACTAGTAGGTGATGTGGGATTCCCTTCTATATGCTGTGAATATGTTTTATTCCATTG